TCAATTCTTACGGCTAAAAGTCTATGGCTTAAAGTCAAGCGCGATATAAGAACCAATCGTCATATTGCTTTCCATTGCCTTTTCTTCGTCTGCTTTCTGATTGGATGCTTGGTCGTTAAAGCTTAAAGCTATAATCTTACGTTTATTTATTGTAGACACTACAATGTAACGGTTTAAGTCTTAACGCTTACGGTTTAAGGTTTAAATCTTAAGTCTTAAGTTCCATTGTAGAATGGGCTTTATGCAACGTTATATAAAAATCTCCAGTCCTAAGCCTGATTTATGCAAGCTGGAACTGTTAACTTTTGCCGGAATCAGAGTTCAATATTAGGGCTGTGTTCGGGACTGTATTTGGGGTTGTGTTTACTTTGACGCTTACAATACTCACAGTATCACTTTATCTTTGTTGGTTTTCCAATGTTAAATAGGGATAAATGATATTTATAAGCGCCAAACCAAAAGCAGCCTAGAACTTCAATGCTTTTGTTCAGCAAGTCATTATTGAATGACAGAATTGAAATCCTAAGCTACATTCCAAAATATTACTTTCAAAGAAAATTTTACTAAAAAGCTATAACATATACATAACATAAACTATAGCTTTTTGAGGAAAATTTCATCAAGAAGCTATAGTTTATGTTACGCTTTTTAGTAAAGTTTTCCTCGAAAGTAATGTTTTGGAATGTAGCCCCAGTGTTGAACTTCACTAGTGTCGACAAAAGTTGACGGTTATGGCCTGCATAAATCAGGCTTCACTCTTCATTTTTTTCTAATGCTTAGAACCTAGAAAAAAATGAAGAGTAAGTTGAATCGATATTAATCTATGTATATTGATGGAAATAAGCAGTGTCAATTGTGACTGATTAATTCTGGTTGGTTCTGCAATTGGTCAATAGAATAATCACCTGGTTAAATTAATCGAAAATGATGAAATTGGCTTTAATTCTAAAAATTAGAATAAAATAAAGAGTAAATTGAGCCAAAAATTAATGCATTGATAGAAATGGATATAAGTGTGTTTTTTATGCTTACATATAAAATAAGACATTTAAAATATTATAAACTATGCAACTATCATTCTTTTGAAAAGCAATTATATATTTTTTACATCAATCAATTTATCTAATTCTTTTATGTGTAAAAGATACAGTTATAAAAAAAAATTTACTAGATATTTTACATTTAATGTCAAAATATCCCAGAAGAAAGTATAAAATATGATTATATACTATTGATTTTTTATATCTTCAACTTAATATTTTTATATGCAGAATAACTAGATAAATCATTATGTAAAAAAAATCATATAATTCCATTTAAAAAAATTACTTCCATGTGATCTCAAAAAATCGATTTTACTATTACTTGTCCTTCAAATCATACAATTTTTGTTTGTAACTTTTTTTGCTACGACGCATACTTTTAGCTATAATAACTTGTAACACTTTAAATATCTCACCTTGTATATGTATAATATACGCATATATATATACGTATTTCTTTCATTAACAGCATGTTTAACTTATATTATCTATCAAATCCTTTGTTACTTCTTCAAATCTTTATAATATAAATTTACAAAGAAACTTCTTATCATACTTGCGAAAGATAATTGTCTTGATTATTGTTTACATTATAGCATGAAAAGGAATATTTGGAAATTCTAACGGCAGTTAAAGGATCGCCTAAAGAAAAACGGCTAGCGTCGCAGTTCATTGCGAGGTTTTTTAAGCATTTTCCAAAATTGGCGGATCAAGCTATAGATGCTCACTTAGATTTATGCGAGGATGAAGACATGGCTGTAAGTTTCCAAATAAAGATCCAGCAGTTTCCAGTTTTGAACATGCTTTAGTAACTAAAATAATATATGTGTATATATATATGTATGTGTGTGTGTGTATATATCCTTGTTTTCTTTTACAGATTCGAAAACAAGCTATTAAAGATTTACCAACGCTCTGTAAAGATAATAAAGAACATACAGCAAGAATTGCAGATATCTTAGCACAATTATTACAAGCTGAGGACTCTTCAGAACTGGCAGTTGTACATAACAGTATTATGTCGCTTATGAAGAGTGATCCCAAAGGTATTATTAAATTACTGTAGTGCTCATAAATTCAATTTGACTGAAATTTCGCATTTGTGTGGTTTTCTACAGTTTATATTTAATTATTGGATTAAAACAAGTTCCATATTTGCAGGTACTTTAAGTGGATTTTTTAGCCAAATCATTAGCGGCGATGATGGAACGAGAGAACGTTGTATAAAATTTTTAGCTACCAAGCTTAAAGCAATAGGACATGACATTATTACGAAGGAACCGGAAGATTTATTAATTGCAGAATGTAAAAAAGTATTGCAGGTAATTTTTGATGACTTATTTAATATTATAACAATGCATGCATGAACTAGTAGAATTTTATTTATTCGAACATGTTGGGAAACAAGGCAGATTTTGATAACTAAATGATTCGAATAATAGAGGCTTACGTATTAATTTGGGTAATAAGAGCTGACAAAAAACTAAAGTCGAATATGTCGAACTCTTATTATCCAAATGATTCAGATAATAAGAACTTGGCTGTGAATTTATAAATTTGAAACTGAACATGAAATATGTACGTATAAATGGAACGCAGATAAACAGAGGCCTATTATACTCTTTTCTTTAATCAATTTTTATAGGATGTGACTGCTGACGAATTCCATAGTATCATGGAAATCCTTGCATGGACTCGATTGGGATCTACTGTCACTGGACAACAAGAATTGATTGATATTACAATAGAACAAGCTGAATTATCTGTACCCTTTAAACACACCAATATTGAACAATGGAACAGATTGGTTCAATGTGTTAAGCATGCTCTTCCATTCTTCAGTGTATGTATATGTATATGTATTTTCAATATTTTTTTAAACAAGATTTAATATTGCAGTACAATGTTATACTTGTATATTTTTATATATAAATGTTTCATCTTTATATTTCAATACTTTTATCCTTTTTCAGTCTCAGATAGATTCATCAAAATTTGTTTCATACATTTGCGTGCAAGTTCTACCACATCTGTCTTTGATGACTTCTCCCGATGGTAGAGATATTCAATTGGAATTATTAAAATTGCTTGCTGAATTAACTGTGTTTTGTGGAACTATTGAAAAACCTGAAGATAAAGTTCAACAACTTTACAATACTCTTATTGTAAGTATTTCGTTCTTAATCACACACATTTTGATAATCATACTTTGATTTTTTGCACCATGATATCTTATGCAGATGCTCATATTTCGATGATTAAAATTATTGCACATATTTATTATTTTTATTCAGTTTTTGCTTCATTTATTTCAGACCTATATGCCACTTCCTCCAGCTACAGAAATTACTGATGTACCAAAGTTGCAATTTAGTCACGTGGAATGTTTAATGTACGCTTTTCATAAACTGTGCAAGCAAACTCCTGAGTTTTTGATAAAGGATCCAGAGCAGCTAAAAGAATTTAGATTAAGATTACAATACTTTGCAAGGGGTATTCAAGGTTACATAAAGAAATTACGTGAAGCTATTAGCGGAAAGACAGAAGAAGAATTGAAATCTGAAGAGAATCAGTTAAAGGTTGTGGCATTGAAAACAACCAATAATATCAATACTTTAATCAAAGATCTGTTTCATTCACCTCCCAGCTTTAAAAGTATAATACATCTCTCATGGAAAACACCTTGTAATGACAAAAAGGTAATTAGTTTTTAATTCAATTTTTTTAAACTGTTGTAAGCTCTAAATGTTATAAATACACATAAATATACTGCTTTTGTGAATATAAATGCATCTACAATTTACATTCATACCTTAAATTTGCAATATTTTATTAATTTCATGTCTGTTTTAGAGCGAAAAGAATTCTGCTCAGAAAAGACATACACCGATCACATTTGGAAATGACAACAGCTCGAATAAACGTAGTAAGGAAGATAAAAACAACAAAAGAGAAATCTATACACCTCCTAGTGGCAAATACAGTTCAAGCATATCAAATTATGGTGAGTAGGCAAATGTATTGAAATTTAGATAGAGAAGCAAATTATATTTATATATATATACAGTCACCAAACTAATTGTCCGAAGCGTTAATATATCGATAATTTCTAAAAATTCAAGATAGAGCAACTTTATCAAAAATTATTGTAACGAGAGTTTTAAAAAAGCATTTTACAGCTTGAAATCTTCATTTTTCAAGAGATCGGAAGAGCACACG